TATAATTAACAAGCCATTTAACTAACCCCTTTTTAATGTCCTTTAATCTTTCTCCAAATTCTCACTTGATAGATTCCAGGTCTATCATTAAAATCATTTCCTTACGCTGTCACCCTTCACTGTACACACCTTGCAAAATCCCACCTGGGTAAAACCCAATAGTTGTTTGACCCTGTGTCTCTCCTTGGCAGCTGAACACAGTTGGAGAAAAATACAATCATGCTGGCCGGTTTCACATTAAATTCTCTACCACAAATCCAAGTGTATTTCTCTAGCTGACTGAGTCCACAGTCTTCGAGAGAACTGTTTCACACCTCTTTTCTCAAACCCCTCACCCATGGATCCTTACCTCTGGCCACACCTTTGAATCACCTGGAAGCCTATAAAATGCACCAGTATCCAAACCCCACCTCCAGAGATTCTAATTGTGTAGCCCCGGGGACCTGGATATGAACGTGCTTTTAAAGATCTCCAGCTGACTCTCATGTACAGTCAGGATTGAGGATCAACTGCTTCCTCAGACACAGCTAGTCACCCTTCTGATGACTGCACTGAGAAAACTGAATTAGTAAAGAAAGGACAGCTACAGACTCCCGCCAAATCTACCTGCATGGGGCCTTTACTCCATTCTGTACTAAGACTAACCCTTCTGCTTCTGCATTCCGGCCCAACACCATTCAAGCCAACTAGGGCCTTGTTTGTCATCACTCCCTCTCTCACCAGCATCTGTCTTGTATTCTTTCTGCTGAATCATGCCCACCACTATTCAAACATCTCTTGATTTTAAGAAATCTCTTCTCCAGTTCCCAAAAGCCACCTCTGTCATTTCCCTTCTCTCTGCAGTAAAATTCATCCTCAAAATTGGTCTTTACTCAATACACAAATTTCTTTTCCCATTTTTCTGAAATCCACACCAATCACAGTTTCACACTGCCCCCCGCTCCCACCCCACAGCCCCATTGTCAAACCCAGTGGTTAAGTCTCAGCCTTCATCTTACTAGATCTCTCAGCAGCATTTGGTCATTATTTCTTCTTTGGAATACATGTTTAGCCTCTAAAACTGCTGTGTCTGTTTCCTGAATTCTCAGTCTCCTTTGATGCTTTCTTCTCAGTTCCCTCATGTCTAAATATGAGTGTGCTCTCAGACTTTCTAATCCTTGGGTGACCTTGTCCATCTACCTGCTGATGATGCCTCCAATCCAGACCCGATCCTTGAACTCCAGATTCCTCTCTTAAACTGCCTACTTTCCAGATCCACTTAGATATGTTAAATCCAACATGTTCACAACCAAGTTCTTATTTTTTTTTCTCTCTAATCCTGGTGCTCTTGCAGTAGCTCAAGCGAAAAACTATGGAATCATTCTTGACTCATCTCTTTCACTGTCCACTTTTGACTCTTCTGTAAAAGCTGTGGGTTCTACCTCTAAACTATATTCTCATCCTGATCAGTTCTCATCACCTCCATTACTACCATTCTGGTCCAAAACACCCCTTTCTACTGGTCTTTGGGATTCCATCTTTGCTCTGCTCCTGTTTATTTCCCACTCAGCAGCTAGAGTGATCTATCTAAAACACAAGTCAGATCTTGTTATTTCTTTGCTTTCAGCTCTCCAGTGGCTCCCCACTTCACTCAAAATAAAATACAGTCTTACAAGATTTAACAGCCAACTTCCTCTCTGATTTCCTCTCCTGCACTCTGCCTCAGCTGCACCAGCCTCCTTAGTGTTAATTGAGTATAGCTAGTGTGCACCCACCTTGGGGGTTTCCACTTATATTCTTTTCCTGAATGCACTGGGCTTGCTGTTAAGGATCTACCCCAATGTCTTCTTATCAGAGCAATGTCCTCTGACCATACACACACGCACCAATTTCACCACCATCATCATAATCAACATAATGACTGTCCCTCTACTACCCTTTATCAACAAGTGATATATTACAAGTTTATTTGTTTCTCTTCTCCCCTTCTATTTGAATGTAGAATTTGAATTCTATTTGAATTTCTTTTTGGCCAACCCAATGTGTGTGTGTGGGTTAGTCTCTCAGTCATGTCTGAGTCTTTGAGACCCCATGGATTGTAGCCCACTAGGCTTCTCTGATCATGGAATTTTCCAGGCAAGAATACTGGAGTATCTGTGTTAGTTGCTCAGTTGTGTCTGACTCTGTAACCACATGGACTGTAGCTCATGAGGCTCCTCTGTCCATGGAATTCTCCAGGCCAGAATACTGGAGTGGTAGCCTTTCCCTTCTCCAGGGGATCTTCCCAACCCAGGGATTGAACCCAGGTCTCTGGCATTGCAGGCAGACTCTTTACCAGCTGAGCTACAGGGGAAGTCCTTAGCAAGATGAAGATTTAGGAAAATGCTAATCAATTATTTTACCATATTTTTATGTATTTGTTAGAGTGATACATGATAAAAATCTGTATTTGTGTTTAGATTTGATAATCTAAACAATTGTCAACTATTTTTTTTCAATATGTTTAAATTTAAATTATTAGGGAAAAGGAAACACTGTATCATAGTTTAAATGGTAGTATTTTTCTTTTGTATGTAGAGATACATACAACAAAAGTGTACTATGCCATGAAAGGAGAAATACAGCTATTAACCCCAGGTACATAAAAGTACAAACCCCTGGTTTAACAAATCAAATCCTAAGGAATCTATTACACAAATAAATTGCTTTTGCAATTTGGAGCTCATTGAGAAGACTATAAACCAAAAGCTCAACATTAACCTAAAATTACTTAATTATATTATGAATCTATATTACTTGGAAGATGTTTTCAAATGACTCAAAATTAAAAGATCTTAGTGTAATATTGGTTTTGTAATTATCCTCACAAATACATTAATTATAAAAGTTAATGATGTGGAATCAGCATGGTAGCATCAAGTAGTAAGTTGCCAGGTAGATGGGGAAGATTTTTTGCCTTTTATTTTCCAGATGTTTTCCTCCATTTCCTCTCTTCCCTCCACAATGAGAAGCAGCCACCTGTCTTAAAAGGTTGGAATATTTTTACTTTTCTTGGTTTTTACTTAACTGGGTTAAACAATGTAACATGCTAAACAGTGATTCTAAACTGGAATAGTCATCCAATTTTTATTAGGGGTAACAATTTGATTCCCCAGTCTCTTGTAACCATATAATCCTTTTCCACTGTTACGTGCTGTGTGAGCTACAAGCACTTTGAGTGTAGGAAGCACAAAAGCTCCTTGGGATTAGTACCACACAAATGCAGATTAAGGACAGTAGAAGACTGTGTCCATGCTTGTAACTGTCATTGCTCAGTTTTGTGCTTCCTTTGGGCAGCAAAGCAATCTATTGTTTTAAAAACACACAACTTACCTTAGCTGTTGATTTTTTCATTGACTACCTGAAGAAGGGAAGAAACTCTGTCCTATAGAATATGCCTCTCTGGATCCCATTCAATTATTTTTAACTGTGTTGTGCTTAGTCGCTCAGTCATGTCTGACTTTTTGTGACCCCATGGACTGTAGCCCACCAGGTTCTGCTGTCCATAGGGATTCTCCAGGCAAGAACACTGGAGTGGGTTTTCATGCCCTCAAGGGGATCTTCCCAACTCAGGAATCAAACTCGGGTCTCCCACAATGCAGGCAGATTCTTAACTGTCTGAGCCACCAGAGGAGCCCTGAAGGAGAGAAGCAACTCTTCTCTATAGAATCCAACTCTCTGGATATCATTCTATTATTTTTAACAGATAACATGAAATCTTACAGGAGGCTTAGACAATTTCTAATTTCAGAATTTGCACTTGAGGTATGGAGCCTTATTTTGCTCCCTGCACCTTCAATCTATGTTTCACATGACCCTTTGTGGTAAGCATGAGAACCTGTACATACCCTCTTCAAACTTTTTGGCTGGTTGGCACAGTATGTAGATATGCTTGAAATTATTTCTTTTCTGTGGCATCATTCTTCTAAGGAAGTTGAAAGAATCAGTCAATCATGTAGCAAACAATGTGATGTGAATCTCTTCCTTTTTTATATATTGTCTTTTGGTGATTATCATGAATTTTCCCCTATACAGTGGCTCTGGTTTGGGAAGAGGAATCTTGGGGACTGGGATGAGAGGTCAAGAATGGAATTGCCTGCCTGTTGGTGGCAGAATGGTCCCCACATTTTCATTCTTTATGCATGCTTATAAATAGCAACATGCCTTTCCATTTTGTGTAATTATTTAGTTAATACCCAGTTGGATTTGTAAGCCCTCACATTGCCATGGGTTTATTTTATTTCAGAGCAATAGGGACTTTATGGCCCAATTACCATCAATGTGACTTATTGTGCTATTTGTGTGAGGGACAGGGGAGCAAGAAGACAAGACAGACTGATCATATGTACCACCATCAACAGGATGACAGCCACACACTCCTGATCAAGGAAAAGGGGCAGGTGGAACCTTTCTGTTGTATTTATTAAAGCACTTAAGTCTAGGTGATTGTGCTATATTTTAACAGATGACTGTGTTTCAAATGTGTGAGTGAAGGAGATACTGAAATAGTGTTGTTAGAATAATCAATATGTTGGTTATTTTGATTTAAAAGATGTCAAATGTGAAGAACGATGGAGAATGACTGTCTACCTAATTCCAGATGCTGCCACTCTCAAATTACAGGCGTGTTAAAGGGAGACTGAGTAAGCATCTGACCTCAGAAATGGACCGGTGAGACTGGCTCCTAATTGGAACAAGGTTCCCTGAAGCCAGACAGCCCTGTATTTATAGGAGCAAGCGGCGCAGCCCACCGTGACCGATGGGCAGCAGGCAGGGAACTGTGACCCTTCGCCTACCTGGAGAGTTTCCGTAGCGGCTGATTCAGAACCAATGGGACGGACAGCTCCCCGGCTCCGGGCTCAGGGCGCGGACTGCGGAAGGGAACAAGAGCGCGGAGGGTCCGCGCACAGTCAGCAGGACTGGGCGGCGGAAGAGCACACTGCGTCTCTCTCCCACCTATTTCGTTCCTCCCTTCCCCTCAGAGGGCAGCGAGAGGCCTGCGGTGGCTGTCCCGAAGGCGAGTCCCTACAAGCGAGGGGACTGGCCGGAGCCGCGGCCGTCCTCCCCCGCTCACCGCCTCTGCCAGCTAGCCGTGCCAGATCGCAACGCCTCGCCCAGCCCCGGCGGGGCGGACGGGTGGGCGTCCCTGGCGCAAGGCCCGCCCAGCCCCTCCCTCCCGGCCCGGGTCTAGCTCCCGATTGGCCGGCAGGCTGGAAGTGCGAGGAGGCGGGGCCCGCCTCTGGCGGCTCGCGCCCGGGAAGGTCGGCAGGGGAGCGCGGGGTGCCGCTGGGAGGGCGCGCGGGTACGCGGCGGGCGCCTAGGAGACGCAGCGGCGGTCTGAGCGGCGGCGCTTGGTCCGGGCCGCAACCCCTGCCTTCCGCCGCGGCCGGCAGTCCGCGGCGCCCAAGCTCCGAGGCGTTTCCCCGGGCGCTGGGCCCGCGGCGGCCAAGACGGCGGGCCGGCCGGGCGCGGGGCGGCGGGCACTGTGCTGCGGGCTGCGGTGGTGGGGGACGGCGGGCCGCGGCGCGGGCCCGGGGCCCGGCGCGTGCGGCTGGGAGGCGCTGTGGGGGGCTGGCGCGCGGGCGGCGGCCGGGGCCATGGCCGAGGGCGGCGGGGCCGCGCGGAGGAGGGCGCCAGCGCTGCTCGAGGCGGCCCGCGCGCGCTACGAGAGCCTGCACATCTCGGACGACGTGTTTGGCGAATCGGGCCCTGACAGCGGCGGGAATCCCTTCTACAGCACGTCGGCCGCCTCGCGCTCCTCCTCGGCCGCCTCCTCGGACGACGAACCCGAGCGCCCCGGCCCCGCGCGGGGCCCCGGCTCCCCGGCGCCTGGCGCCCCCGCCGCGCAGGAGTCGGAGGAGGACGAGGTTGTCGCGGGCTGGAGCTCCACACTGCGGGACCGCCCGCCCCCGCGCTTCGAAGACACTGGCGGTAAGGCGCGGCCCGGGGGAGGCCAGGCTGCCCGGGCGCGAGAATTCCGGATGCTCCGCCGGCCGGCTTGCTGGTGGCGGCTGTGCGGTTCAGGAAACAAACGAGGCTGCAGGAGCGGGGCTCTAAAGTGCGAGCGAGGCTGCGTGCGGGGCTCCGCCGACTCTTCGTGGGTGGACAGGAAGAGGCGAGGCCGCGGCAGCACTTTGCCGCTGGCGAGGACGTGGGTGGGGGGGTGCTCCCCTCCCTTGCTAGAAGTGTCCCCGCGTCCTGCAACGGAAGCCAGTCACACCTGTAGGGTCTCTCCTTAGGGGTGAGTTAGAGTTAGACTTTACTAGTTGAAGGAATACTGGAACCCTGACGTGTCTTGGGACTAGGGGAGTCATTTTGTATTGCTGGCTCCAGAGCAAGCTTACCCAGATGCTAGGTGTGGGGCAGGTAGCCGTTGGAGCGAGGCTGAAAGGTTACCAGTGGCGTCTTCACTGGACTTTAGTTTTCTCCAGTTAATCTGAGAAACTTTCCGTGTCCTGCCATTCAGGATCTCTTGTGAGAAACAGGGAAGAGTGAAAGGATCAGTTTAGCAGCATTAAGGCGCTTGCTTCAACAGAAGGAGCTTTCGCGTGTTTCCTGCTTATTGCTATGGTCATAGATCAGCTGGAGGAGGTCAGAGAAAGGCTAGCAGCTCCGCTGCCTGAGATCCTCTGCTACCTCCCTTTGGGGAGTTGGTTTTAAAATATCTCCACTTTCCCTTCAGAAGCTCAGCAGCCTCTGTCCTCTCTGGGAGGTGGAGGCCCGCCGTTCCCACTTGTCCTCTGATGCTTTTGTTCCTTGCTCAGCGGCCTTCTTGGTCTTCTGTGGCAGTCCCTTGTTTCTGCACACTATTTTCATGGATGGACTTGCGTGCAGCTGGTAATGCTGACGACCAGGGAGTGGCCACAGTGGGTTTGATGCTGGGCGTTATGCAACTTTTCCTGCCGCTTTCCCTGATGGTTGTTCAACCAGTGGGGAGCACAGCACATAACAGGACAGGCTCGAGGGACTCCTGGCTTATCCTAGACTAGGATCAGGACATCACGCTGCAGCCTGCTGGTAGGGCTGGCTGGCTTCTCAGTAGGGAGTGGTCTGCAAACCTCAGGCAGGCTGGCTGCAGTGTGAATTTACTAAGCTATAGCTGGGCTTCCAGAGCCCAAGTTAGCTGTACAGTGTTTGGGGTGGGTCAGTGTAAAAGCTTCTTCTTATTTGGGCTTTGATTAAGAGTTTGGGAGTTTTCAGTCACATCACTCTGTATAATCCTTTTCCACCCCTGTATTTTCCAAAATGTCATACGGTCTTCCAGCCCCAGGCAACTGATTTCCTATTGGCTCTTAAGAATTGTACCTGCCCAGAACCCTGGTTTGACAGGCCTTATGCTGTAATGTCTGTGATCCAGTTTTTGATCTCAGAGCACCTGAGATGTATGTTTGCTTGGGAGGATTACAGCATTCTGTATTGGGGAAAATAGGAAAGTTGTGTTAGGTTAAGCCTGGTTATGAATAAGATTTGTGAGGGCTGGTTTGAGAAGGTTAACATTTTTAAAGCAATATTATGTTTCTTAGTAACCTATAAATGGGAGAAATTCTGCAGCAGAGTAATTTACCGCTGCAGCAGTTAAACGGTCATAAAGAGCAGTTGGTGTCAGGTTTCGATTCTGCTTCCTTCAGATGTCTACTGAGTTCACACCTAGATCTGAGAATCAGTCAAGCACCTTAACCAGACATTTAGTGGTTATTTGTGGAGAAGGCGGTGGCATCCCACTCCAGTACTCTTGCCTGGAAAATCCCATGGATGAAGGAGCCTGGTAGGCTGAAGTCCATGGGGTCGCTAGAAGTCGGACACGACTGAGCAACTTCACTTTTCACTTCATGCATTGGAGAAGGAAATGGCAACCCACTCCAGTGTTCTTGCCTGGAGAATCCTGGGGACGGGGGAGCCTAGTGGGCTGCCATCTCTGGGGTTGCACAGAGTCGGACATGACTGAAGCGACTTAGCAGCAGCAGCAGCAGTGGTTATTTGATGCTATTTATACCTAATTTGTTTTCCTATTTTGTGTAGGAGCGCAGCTCTGACTAAGAATTTTCTTTCTCTTTGCAGCACTTCTCCCTGAGGGAAATTTGGGTGGTGGTAGAGGGATGAGATTGATGGTTTATTATGCAAAAATTCAGGTTTCCTAAAACAATGGAAATGATTTATGGGGGCTGAAAATAGATGCAGAAATATGCTGCTGGTCAGAAAAAATCCATGTGTCTTAGTGGTGTGGAGACAGATGTGTGTTAAGAGGCTTGAGAGCTGCACCCAGATCACCCTGAGAGCAAAGAGGGTCAACCTGTGAAGTTTACCAAGTCCAGTAGATAAGACCGTCCAGCCAGAGTGTGTTCCCCAATTCCAGGAATGCAAGCTGCATTTCCCCGCATCTTTGTTTCCCAGTTTATTGAGGGGTCTCACTGGGCTGATCTGGTCGAAGAGGACCAAGCAAGAAGGTGACATTTTGATTTGTAATCAGCGCTCATCAGAGAAAACCCCTAATGGAAATTGCTGTTGTTGCTAGACTCAGGTGAGGAAAGCAAAGACTCATGGAACAGGTTTCCTGCTTGCCTCCTGCTATAAAAACAAACAAACAAAACAAAGCTGCATGGAAATAGCATATATGCGTGTGATTGTCTTAATTGTAAATGTATATTGCATGTGCTGACTGTGGTTTCTTCTATCAAAAGGAAATTATGACCGATGTCTGGGGACCCTCTTGGTAACCTAGAACCCTTTTCAGAGAGACCCTGGGTACCATTGTGCTTTTTATCTGCACTCAGAGCTGCCGTTGGCCCCATGGGAGGAGAGCACGCAGTAGGGAGACTGAGGTGGCAGAGTGGGGCTGGTGGGAGCATTGTGTTGTTAAGGTTGAGACTCCTAACTGCCCTTGAAGCTGTTCTGGTTTCCTCAGCCTCCTCCTTCTGTTTTTACCCAGTGTATTTAGCTTCCTGGATCAGTCTCCCTAGAAGTGCAGCTGGCATTTATGGGAGGGGAGGTCCTCTCCCTCACACCCCCTTCCTTTCTTTCTCCTCTTCCTGGATCCCCCTGGGATGATTTAAATACAAGAACTCCCTCCGTTTGCTGCGCTGGCTGGGTGACAGGCTTTTAACCTCTGTGTGGATGGAAGGATAGCCTGGGAGCAGAAAGTGGTTACTGGGAGCTCAGGGCCCAGAACTCTATCCTTGCAGGGCAGCCCCCTAAAATAGCCCCCGGCAAGCTCTCAGCCTCATCTGCCTACTGTGGAAGCAGCCAACACAGCATGCAAGCTCACTTTTTGGAAGCAGCGGGAAACTCAGCTGCTCTGGGGCTCCTGCCCTTTCTGAGCAGTCTGGTGATGCGTTCTCTCTGACGAGGCAGAGGGACGGGCAGGTCCACAGACACTCAGGACCCTTCTGTTCAGCTTTGTGGGTTCTTTGTTGTGGCAGGCTTGGTCTGAGCTGGTGCTCGTTCCGTGAGGTTGAACTACACGGGAGTTTTCTTCCCGTGCACCGTGTCAGCCACCGTCAGTCATCAGTCAGTGGGGAGGTATGACCTTGAGAAGCTAGGGAGGAACATGTTACCTTCAAAATTAACACTGAAATGTCTTATCTCTTGAGTTTGTTGTTGGGTTTATTTGGTTTAGAATCTTTTTGACTAACAAGGAAGAGAAGCATCTTTTTCTTAAAACCAGAATTAAACCAATACCTCCTACTGTAATGGAATTTGTGAGCTAAGATCCTGGACCCCTCTCTCCGGTGTCAGGTAAGCAGCTGCTCCCACCTTTAGCTCCATAGCTCCAGGAGGAGCTCAGATCATGGTAAGCTGTGAGATAAATCACATGCAGTCCTGCCTAATACTGAAGTGTGTTCCCAGTCACAGAATTCAGAGAAGCAAGCTTCGTGGGAGAGATGTTTTGCTCTTTTTCCAGGAGTCTTTTCCTGTGATGGGGAAACTTGAGCTCACGATGAGGATAATAACACACAGTGTGCATCTGTAACTTGCTTTGTCATGCATTATTGCACTGAATCTTCACAGGTACTCTGTGTGAGAGAAGTTTTCTTCTGCACTTTACAGAGAAAGAGGTTGGTCTTTTCTGCCAGAGTCTTGGGGGTAATGAGATTACCTTGGCTAAGTGATCAGCACCATCTAAGTACTCAGACTTGATAATTCAGGAAAGATAGCGAGTTGTTTTGTTTTTAATCTAGACTTTTTTCCAGTAAA